TGATGTGTATTTGAGATTCACAAAAGGACTCGGACTCGGAGACAAGGACTCGGACTCAGACTCGGACTAGGATACCAAGGACTCGGACTCGGATGAGGTGGACTCGACCATAGCACTGATTATTTATTTACAAGAATTTTTTCTCTTTCAGTCGTTTTGGTCATCTGCAAAGACTTGCTCATGTTCTGGCAACGGTTCCAGCCCTACTTGGCCTAGCTGCGCAACGTTGTAAAAAAATTAAACATCTTGGAGGAATATAGGCCTAATATCTGCATAATATACGACGGATGTTTGCATATGATTTGTTCATTCGTGAAACAATCAATGAATCACCTCTACCCACCATTTGGAAATAGTTTTAGCTGACTATCTATGTGAGGTAACTTCAGGGGCGGATCCAGGATCTTCCGAAGGGTGGAAGGGCGTGATTTTTTTTAACCTGTAGGGGAAGTTTTGTCGTGATACACCAACGTGCGAAGCCACGGCGTGGGGTTCGGGGCCGACTTATGGTCCCAAAATTGTGAACTTTAGAAGCTCTTTGGTACATTTTAGAGCAAATCTTGGGATCTTTGAGGTAGATTTTTCCTCAAAATTCAGAGGAGATAGATAACATTTTTTTTTAAATAAAAATATAATAAACATTTCACAAACATAACAATTTTCTGAACTGGAAAAGTTCGGATGAAAAGTAAGTTTCAGATTAAAACAAATTAAGCAAAAAAAAAAAATTCTGCTTCCTATTACATGACTTTCCAAAAATTAGGGTCGTTAGGTCGGAATTTATTTTTATTTCGTCAAAAAAATATTTTGTGCTGATTGAAATAATGCAGCATACCAAGGAATCATGCATAATTTGTGCCTTAATAAAGTTCATTCGCGCCACAAAAGTAATCGAGACTGTCCATCAAAAGTGATAAAAACTTGCCTCACCTAATATGAAAAACATATATTTAAGGTGGATGATTCTTAAAAATAATGGAGAACTGAAGTCCTCCACGCCACTATGCTCAACGTTAGTCACCGTCAGCCGCCAGCCAGCAGTGGCCGTATATCGCCTCGCGCACACGGCACACTATCAGTGTGCATACCTGCACTGTGTATTTGCAGCGGACTCGGCAACGAACCCACGTGCTGTGGCCGAACTTTTTTTTCAGAAACACGCTAACGGTATATCAAGTACGTATGAGCGGAACAATCTCCTTATATATATTTTAATGGAAAATACATACACAGAAAAGAAAGATCACGTTCTGGGAATTAATTGGAATAAATTCTCTTTCTCCATCGATGTTTATTAAATATTTGGTATTTTCTACGGTCCAAGTTCGTCCTGTCACGTTATGTAGGTCTAGTCACTGGTTCCAGTCCTACCAGTGAATGGCGATGGCACTGCACTGCACTGCCATGCTATGCCGCACGGAACATCGTATACGCGAACAGTGGCATGGCTTTGGTGCATTTTGATCACAAATGCGTCAATAGTTTAGGCTTTTTCGTCAAGATTTAGCATGTCAAGATGAACTATTTTTTTTTTTTACGATTATAGTGCCATATGTAATTCCAGCGTATCGGGCCGATACGCACGCATAACCCAATATTTGTCTATAAATGGCTTAAACTCAAACTCTAGTTTTCTTACACACGGAGTACCCCAAGGCTCAATTTTAGGACCTTTGCTTTTTATAATATATAGTAATGATTTTACAAAGTCTTCTAACTTGCTCTCTTTTATATTGTTTGCTGATGACTCTAGTTTATTCTTTTCCCATGGCAACCTCAATTACCTCACTGACACTGTTAATTAACACCGAACTTATATCTGTTTCGAGTTGGTTCAGACTTAATAAATTATCCTTAAATATTTCCAAAACTAGCTTCATGTTGTTCAGTAACTTTGTCAGTGAACTAGCCTGTAATATTATGATTGATGATTCTGTAATTATCAAAACTGATTGTTGTAAATGTTTTGGTTTGTTTATTGACCCAGGGCTAACATGGAAAATCATGTTGATCATTTATGTAAAATCATTGCAAGAAACGTAGGTGTATTAACAAAATCAAGCATCTTTTACCTGTAAATGTTTTGGAATCTCTTTATAACACCCTAATTGTCTCTCATCTTAACTATGGTTTACTTGCTTGCGGTAGTAGTTCTGCTACAAGACTACTTCTATAACAGAAAAGAGCCTTGCGTGTAATTAATTTTGCCGACTTCTATGAACACACATATCCCTTTTTATAAAACATAGAATTTTAAAACTTAATGATATGTATAACGTTCAGCTTGGGTCTTTAATGTATCAATCTTCTCGCAATACTTTACCATCTTCCATTAATAGTATTTTTAGCCAGAAGTGAAATTCATTCTCATTGGACTCGCCAAGCTTCTAATTTTTATATTCCATTTAGTCGTACCTCTCTTTCTCAAAATACTGTTAAATACAAGGGACCCAAGCTGTGGAATTCGTTCTCTACACAACTTCAAGCTTCTACCAATCTTTCCACTTTTAAACGCCTATTTAAATCAATCTTAATTCAAACTTATTATTAATTCATGCTAGTAGATATATGTTGTTACATGTAGATTGTAGAATATCCATTATTTTATTGCTCATTGCTGACCTGACTAGTTAAAATGATCTGTATTGTATTGTTTGTTTGTCTGTTGTTTACGTCTGAATGTGTATTGTGTTTAGGTATGTTGCTTTTCTATGTAATTACTTTAAATACAGCATGCTCATTGAGCCCTACCTCGTTTGACTGACCATTTAATAGTGTTTATTGTAAGTTACTTCCTTTCCCTTGGTTTGGGCTCAATGAGCATGCCCGTCTGGGGCCCATGCTTAAAAGCTCTGCTTCTTAATGGGCCCCTCTGCAGTGTCTCTAAAATATCAGTTGTGTTGTATTATTTGTAATTCTTTTCTGCTATGCAATTATTTTATGTCATTTATAGATTTGATGCTGTGGAAATAAATAAACCTTGAACCTTGAACCACGTTTGTACGTGGGGAGAACATCTTAATGTTTTATCTGAAGGAAAGGGGGCGTGCGCCCTCAACTCCCCCCCCCCCCGCTGGATCCGCCCCTGACCTTACAATTCTGTCACAAGTACAATGTAAAAGCAGCCTCAAATAAATGCGTCATGCCATAATTTGTTGAGCAATCCACAGACTTACGCACTGAGAAACTTTCTTAAAATTCTCGTGACTGAAATGTTGCGCAACGTACACTATAAATGGTGGCCCGAGTGTTCTTTGTCATCGCATAAGGTGACATGAAATCGGCTGCAGGAATGAGATTGTCAAATAAAAAAGTCTGACAATTGAAAGGTGTGAAAGATGCGTATCTGTCTATGCATTTTCATGAAGGACCAAATATAACTGTGTGAACTTGAATTATACTGGGTTAGTTCAAAAAAAGTGACCTGGATTAATGATTTTGTATCTTAAAACCTAATTTGACACAATCTAATTTGACACACTAATGAAGTACGTTTTAAAAGAGCATTTTTTTATATAAAAAAGACAAAGGCAAAAGTAATGCACCAGCCAAAATGACAAAACATAATGAAAAAATTGCTACACTATAATAAAGTAAGATCGATTGATAAAATTGATAAAATTGACCTTAAAAGATGACACAGCCACCAGGAATAAGATATTGCACGAAGTACACAATAGACCCAGACATAGTATGATAGTGCATAAAGCACACTAGACCCAGACATATTATGAAGATCAAGAAGTTAATAAGCATGGTCTTGTATACTCATCTGAAAAGGTGGGTATATTAAAATAGCTTTAAAAAACTAGCAATTGTGAAGTTACAGGCCCCGTACCACACTCATTACAATGTTAGTGACGTTTAAAATAATAATATGACATGTTTGCTTAAAAAAAAACTGTGATAAAAATCACAGAACGTAACGTGAAAAGATGGTTATCGGCGCAATGTACTGTGAAAAAGCAGAGCCGCGTTCATGTCGCTACGCAATGCATTAGCTGAAAATGCGTAGAAAAATGTCTAGTGGATATTATGCCGGATTCGGTTTTCTTTAAGTAGGCCTATGGGTGCACTCCAGTAAATAGGCCAAATATCCGTCCGCCGAGCTCATGAATACAAGTTATACACTCAAATTCGTCCATATTAGAGAGTTCTGAGAGCCATGGAATGGGGAGATTGAAGAGATATGGCAATACACCTCTGGCCCGGACTTTTTTTAGCCATGTTGTGGAGGGATCCCTTTTCGAGATGGCTACTTTTTCACTTTGGGAAATATCACTAATTTTAGGGGTCGGCTTCTTTGGATGAGATTGTCTCGAAAAGTCATCGGTCAACCCAACAAAAATTAAAAATAAAATGAAATTTGACATGTTCATCATCATTTTTCTGTGCAGCGTGAAAACATGTGAGAGTTTTGAGTATTTTTAAAAGAATTTTGAAGTATGGGCATTTACACTGTTGTCTATTGGACATTTATTAGATTGGGTGCACCCCTATACGATGTTAAGCCGGGTGATCTTACAGCGCCCTCCTTGACGCATAATTATAGACGAAGACTTTTCTGCAACTATGCACAAAAGCAAAAACCAAAAAAAAATTGGAAGAAAAACAATTGCTTTTCAGTTGACGGCGGGAAAGCCAATCTGCAAAGTTGGCGGAAAAGCCTGAATACAAAAGTTATTGCATTTTAAGAAGTTCGAATCATGGGAAAAACTCCATTGCACGGTCCTTTAAATGTGTATTTGATAAGATGAAGCTCGACTTTAATTCTGATATAGAGACTAACATATAGTTACGTGGCCTCCTAATTTGCATACGGATCGCAAAACGTCAGCAAACAGATCATTTTAGAAATCTGGTTTTGCAATGAAATGATTGCAATAAAAAAAACTCAAGTTAGTACTTTGGCACAACCACCACATTTCTTAGATTTCCCTGTAAGACATCTTGCTATAGTTGCACTTTTAAAATATTAATTTTGGAGTAGAATTACTTACCTCGTTTACCACGGCACTGGGCTCTGAAAGACGCGAAAGCCTTGTTACGAAGTGCGGTCAGATCATCACCGGGTGCAGCCTGGACCATGGCACTACACGTGTTCCCTCGCACAGGTAGAATAAAGAAGGAACTAAAAAGCCACAGAGTCCAACTGAAGACCCACATTTTACGCGGGTTTTTCATGACCAGCCAGCAGGTCTTCACTTTGATATCTGCGATCAAAACGGGCAGAGCACCACTCCCTGGCACGATGAGCCTAATGTTTGGGATATCGCTTGCTGTCGTCACATAGTTTCCACGGTAACCGTAACAATGGATATTGTTTGGAGTTGGTTCATCGACGATCATGACAGAGCGAAATCCAATGTCATGTGACGCTCGTTTTTTTAATTTATTTATTGTTTTCCCCTGGAAGAAATGTGTTATTCAACCTCAAAGCAACTTCTAAGCTACACAGAAACTACTTAAGAAACCAAAGCAATGCCGCAAAATATCTTGACCTATAATACATTTGGAATACAGAGTTAGTTTTGACACAGTACTTCAAAGGAGTCTCATTTTGTATGACATTTTGCAGTAGATCCATTTGTAATCGAGATGTACTTTTCCAAACTAAAATAACGTTTTAAATCAAGATTCAATAGTGCAAGGGATGATCTGCTATCGTTCATCTTCATCTTATAAATGTGAAAACGACACAAAATAAGGATCAGGTTGAGAGCAATCCACGATATTTTTTTTAACTTATGCCGAAAAGTATAGCCTCATCGTCTAAGTGTATGTTTAAATTAAGAGTCCTCTCAAACCAATCATTAACCCGGGTCCAAAACATAGATGAAATCTCACACCTACAAAATAGATGAACAAGCGTTTCGCTCTCTAAGATATAGAATATCTATGTAACGAACCGGATAGGGCGCTCGCGCGCTATGCACGTCAAGTCACGTACAAACATGCGTACGAACATTTTTTTCTTGCGCGATGCCTGTACGATATGGATTACGGTAGCCTCGTTTTTTCGCCCGGTTGTAAAGGGACGAAAGAGGTACGTGCATTTAATATAAATCCTTGCTAAATAACGCAACGTCGAAAAAATTGTGTTGGAAAGGATTGATTCTTCAAAAAAACAACTTTGAACATTTTAAACATGGCGTCGCGCGTTAGATACATCGACTGCAGTCCTAGTTTAAATGTGCCAATTTATGACACATTTAAATGAGACAATTCCAGTGGTTAAGATCGCGCAAGGCATGATGGTAAACAACATGGCGCAGCAAGATCGTACCCATGGAAACGAGGTTGCCCAGCAGGCTTCACTTTGTAATTCTACACAGCCTATGATTGCACACCAGTAAATAGGCCAAATATCCGTCCGCCGAGCTCACGAATAAAAGTTGTACCCTCAAAATATTTATATTAGATCTAGAGAGATCTAGATCTAGATCTGAGAGCCATGGAATTGGGGAATTGAAGAGATATGGCAATGCACCTGTGGCCTGGACTTGGGACTTCCAATTCTGAGCATTGTGGATGCAATTGGGCCCGAAAGTGACGCTATTTAGCCATGTTGTAAAGGGATCGTTTTTCAAGCCGTACTAAAGCTGTACTACATTTCGAGTTTTCCATTTGTTTGTGCACAAACGTGGATCCGCCCAGCAGGCTTCACTTTGTACAGCGAGTTACCACTGTAGTAATTCAATATAGCTCTATGTATTCTATTATATAGACTAATCCGACAACAGCCATTTTCTCTGGTGGCACCAGGCTCGCGCGAGTCGCGTAAATGCAAGCTGCTTTCATTTATAACGCAGCAATTCCGAGGAAATGCACAAAAGGAGGCCCAACGATTAACTGCCTGCTCCCTGCTATCATTACTATTGTATAGTTTCACTGATGCGTGAAGCCAGCAGACACAAGTCCAAAGCGGCTAATACTCCCTGTACTGTTTTCAGCACAGAGTACGCGTAACCCTTGATGTAACCCGTCTGAAACGCACCCACAATGGCGATTTCTAGTCAAGATGAGGAGGGGACACCGGCGTCACCAGGTTAATATAATGGGGGGGGGGGGGTTTTAAGGCATCATAGATTGAACATTTCTGGGTCTTAAAAATCGTTTTGTCAAGACTAATATTAACAAACTTAAAGGGAATATACATCATTTGCTTTTGCTGTAATTTTCAGCAATTGATGGAATTGGGGTTGGAAATATAAAGCAAATATAGTTACACTGACATTTTTGGAGGTTTTGGTTCGAAAATGCTATAAAAACCAAGAAAAACGATCATTTTCCTGTAGTCTGGTCCCCTGACTCCATATAAGAAGAAACAGAGCAGTTTACATACATTGGGGAATTGTAAGGTC